GTCTGTGATGATTCCTGGGACCTAAAGGACGCAACTGTCGTGTGCAAGCAGCTCGGTTGTGGAAGCGCTATCAAAGCATATGGAAGCGCTTACTTTGGTCAAGGCTCAGGAAACATAACTATGGATGATGTAAATTGTAGAGGGAATGAAAACAGATTGGAGGAATGTTCTCATAGAGGATGGTATCGTCATAATTGCAACCATGGAGAAGATGCTGGTGTTTCTTGCTCAGGTACCTTCCATAGTCTGAAATAAAACGGCATAACAGGAAAGAAAGTGCAATATGTTTACATGTTTTTCTCATAATGAGATAGGTGTAATGTTATACGCATTTTCAAAAAAAGGAAAAGCAGCATCTAACTTTGACAAATAGACTGAGCAGGTTCCTCAAACTGAGTACAAAGTCACAAGTTGTAGCATTAGGATGTTATAATAACAAAAATCAGAATACGTTTTGTCAAAGACTGAATTTATCTTCTTTTTTTGAAAGACAAAAAGGACAAGTATAAAAAGCGGAAGGAGGGGCAAATAACTAAGGCAGAATATCAACAAATAGTCCATGCCTGCAAAGATGAAGTGAGGAAAGATAAGGCTCAAAAAGAACTAAGACTTATGACAAAAGTCAAAAATAACAACAACAACAAAAGCTTCTTTCAACATGTAAAAAACAAGAAAAAGTCAAGGAAATGATTGGCCCACTATTGGGAGAAAGTGGCAAGAAGGTGACAAGCAATGGAGAGAAAGCAGAACTAGTTAACTTGTTTTTTGCATGCGTTTTTACACAAAGGGAAAAACAGTCTAACCTATCAAAAACAAGCTAAAATAGACAAGAAAACGGTAAGCGAGCACCTGTCCATTCTAGTCGAGTTTAAATCACTGGGGCCAGATGGATTACACCCCAAGGTTCTGAAGGAAATGGCAGATGTGATCTCAGAACTACTGAACTATATCTTCCAAAGATCCTAGAGCACCGGGTACTACCAGAGGACTGGAAAAGAGATGATGTAATTCCCATCTCCCAAAAAGAAAAAAAGTAAATCCAGGAAACTACAGACCTATCAGCCTGACCTCAATACCTGGGAAGATTCTGGAAAAGATTATCAAGCAACGAATCAGTGAACACCTAGAGACAAAGAAAGTCAAAACCAAAAGTTAACATGGGTTTGTCAAAAATAGATCATGCCAGACAAATCTTATTGCATTCTTTGACAAGGTAACAAAATTAGTGCACCAGAGGAATAGTATGGATAAAGTTTACTTGGAATTCAGCAAGGCATTTGACAAAGTAGACTATAATCTACTACTTGATAAGATTTAAAAAAATTTGGGTTAGACAATATCACCACCAGATGGATTCACCAACCGCACTCAACAAATAGTCCTCAATGGAACTGCATCTACCTGGAGGGAATTATGCAGTGGAGTACCCCAAGGCTCTGATTTAGGCCCAGTTTAATGAGGTTGCTATTATGATCATGCATCAATAAATAATTACAATGGCGAGATTCTGTAAATCACTGGTAGGAAATAGCATTAGTCAGCAATGTTGAAATAAATACTGTAAAGCAGTTCCCGATTCAAGACTTCCTACTCCAATGTTATGTCGGGTAACAAGGCAAATTGTACATGTATATAGAATTTTTTTATGTTGGTCTTCAATGTTATTATCTCACTATTTGCAGATTTCATGACTTGTTTTCTTTTTTTGTAGGTCATACTACAGCTACTACAGCTACTACAGGACCAGAAATACCACCTAGTAAGTTTGTATCTTTAATCTTGAAATTAAAGACTCTGAAATAAGAACAGGACATATCGCCAATTGATCTCCAAACAATTGATCTCTAACTTTTAGTGCTTCCACACTAAAGGGGAAAGAATGGATTCTTGTGACTCACTAAGAGTTGTGCTTATATGGAAGACCATAGAAATATAATAAACAAACAAATAAGTAAAGAGGTGCAAATGTGGCGCCAAAGGCAGTTATAGGACCTTCTCAAAGAGTAGAGATTAAATGACTGCTCCAAGAGCTGCATTGGTTGCCAGAACTTTTTCCAGGTTCCAGTTCAAGGAGTTGTTCATAACCTATAAAGTCTTAATAGGCACGGATCCAGGTTATTTAAGGGAACACCGCCCCCTTTATCTACCTGCCCCATGTGGTCTTGCAGAAAAGGCACATTTGGAGGGGTCTCCTCTATAAAGGAGTTATCACTTGATGAGGTCTGGTCATGCAGTGCATGGCACCCATTCTTTGGAATATTATCCCTTCCCCTCCCCCGAGGTTAAATTGGTCCCAACCTTACTGGCCTTACAGAAGTCTCTCAATTTGTCATGTTGCTTGGACATGGAGCCTGCTAAATGTCTGTGCTGAGAGTGAAGCATGAATTATATTCTCATGACGATTATTTTCATCATGTTTTTAATCCAGTTGTTAATGGTTTTATACCTGTAATTTTGTGGTTTTATGTTTGTGGTTATTATTTTATTTGGTCTTATTTTGGATTAATGTCTTTGAGCTGCCCAGAGTGACAAATGTGAGATTGGTAGATATGTATATTGAATTAATTAGTGAAAAAGATATCTTTGCCTTCCCATTCAACCATCAGAATATAATTTAAAAGTAGAGCTTTGACAACGTAAAAGTATCTTAACTGATTCTTAGCTAATCCCATCCTATGCAAAATTTCAAAATTTCTCTGTGTCTTTGAAGTCTCAGATGCCTCATTTTTTTCCAGTTTCCCATTCACATACATAGATTCTGTCTAATTTTTCTCAGGGGAATCTGTAAGACTGGCCAATGGAAAAAATAACTGTGAGGGACGTGTTGAAATCTTACATGGTGGATTGTGGGGGACTGTCTGTGATGATTCCTGGGACCTAAAGGACGCAACTGTCGTGTGCAAGCAGCTCGGTTGTGGAAGCGCTATCAAAGCATATGGAAG